TTTTTTTTTTTTTTTTTCCCATGACATTTAATTCCATTTGATTTATGTCCTTATGTGCACCTTTTTTCAAATCGGAATTCTCCATTTTAAAGTAGTATAACAATTCTAGAACTCTTTTGCAACAGAAGCGAAGAGGTTCCCCATATTATATATTGTGTCATAACTCATAAGTACTGTGTTTTGTAATACTTGATGAATATAACGAGTTAAAGAGACATATTACTCATGTTTACCAGGTATTATCTGGACACCAAGATAATGCAGAATACGCTCTTGCAATGTGCCCAGCTGAACCCTATGTGCTTTCAGGAGGTTTGACACTTGTTGCGTGATTCACGTTTTGTCTTCTGCCGACCTGGTTTCATAATTGTGTGTTTATATAACTACCATTATCTACGTATATGTGTGTATGCATATATACATTTCTTCCATGACTCCTGAATGTGTTTGAATTTTGCCGTGGTATTTCATAATTTCATAAAGCTTATACGATTAGTTGTTTGCAGGGAAGGATAAATCTGTTGTTTTGTGGAGTATTCAGGATCATGTGTCAACACTGGCTACGGATGCAACCCTAACTGCAGAATCTTCTGGTTCTATCGTTAAAGCTGCTAATAATTCTACTGTTGGTCCACGTGGGATTTTTCAAGGCCATGATGATACTGTTGAGGATGTGCAATTTTGCCCATCAAGGTTACTGTTAGCCATTAATGTATAAGAAGAGTCTGTCAACCTGTATATAAATTTATTTACTACAATATGTTAATTCACTTATCAATTCACGTTTCACGGTAGTTTTATAGTTTTTTATTTTCTTGATTCATTATATGATTTGTTCTATATATGTATTTGTTGTTGATTCAACTGTCATGTTTGTTTCACTTCTTATACTTCCTGGAATATATGTTCATTATTGCTTTCTGACCTGTCCTTACCAATTTTACAATCATTGTACTATTGCAGTTCACAGCAGTTTTGTAGTGTTGGAGATGATTCTTGTTTGATTCTGTGGGATGCAAGGACAGGAAGCGATCCCGTTGTCAAGGTTGAGCTTCCCTTTGTTTCTCGATGCCTGTACTTGTTACTTTCCCTTTGTCTACTACAGTCTTACTTCAAGTATGGGCTACTTGGAAGTGGCACAGCATCATTAATTACATTCACAAGAAAAGCCATAAAATATGCTAGAGCATATGCATAAATGTGTATTAATCAAAGTTGATTAAATGTGTATTAATTGAAGTTTCTGTTTGTCATTTTGGTGTATTTTATTCCGTTCTTTGTGTGTATCACTCTAAAGCTTTCCCGCATAAAGGAACCTATCTATTGTATTAATTCTTTAACATCGCCTGGGTTTTTGCATGAATTTTAGGTTGAGAAGGCGCACTATGCCGATCTTCACTGCGTAGATTGGAACCCTCATGATGAAAACTATATATTAACTGGGTAAGTTGATCCTGGCAATCTTTGTGGTGATAGCTAAATATGTGATGTCTTACATTCTAAATGTCAATCTTTTTGCAATTTGAGCTCACTGATGATTCTGTTGTGTTCCACAATCTAATACTCCAGCTCAGCCGATCATACTGTGCACATGTTTGATCGCCGCAATCTGACCTATGACGGAGTTGGGTCACCTGTCCATAAATTTCAAGGTCATAAAGCTGCTGTTCTTTGTGTCCAGGTAGCCTTTCTTTTTTATTATTATTTTCTTTATCCACTCAATAACCATATCGAGTATTTTTTTATATGTGTTAACTAAATCTACTCAAATCTCAGTGGTCACCTGATAAGAGTTCTGTGTTTGGGAGTTCAGCAGAAGATGGTTTACTGAATATCTGGGACTATGAAAAGGTGAGTGATGATCTTTTTTTTTTTGTTTTTTTTTTAAAGACCTAGTCTTTGTTGGCTGTGCTGCTACCTGGAGTATTTAATTTTGAAATTTTTCCCGTGGAGTAATGCTTAAAAATTTATTCATGCAAGTGAAGTATAAGAATTCTTCTTGAGTTTTATTCCACTTGATGATCGGTTTGTGCTATTTATCTTGTCATAGGTTGGTCAGAAGGAAGAAACGGGTTCCAACAATCCTACTGCTCCAGCAGGGTTGTTTTTCCAGCATGCTGGACACAGGTGACATGCTTCTTCTAGTCTTGTGCAAAATTAAATCGAACTTTTCCAAGTACTTTGCATTGTTATAGTAAACTTTGACATACATGATTGCCCAATGAATTTTTTACCCAAACGACTAGCGAGGGATGTTGGCTAGTTGGACAATTTTCGAAAGCATCCCATCGGGAGTTGGAGGGCTACAGATAAAAGGAAAAAACTATTTTTCAGAGCCTTCCTCTGAAGTTTACTATGTTTAGTTAACTTTTATTCACATTGGTTTTTGGACCAAAAATTGAATTTAAGCTAGAATTCCTGGTTAGCATGTAACCTGATATGGATACAGAGTGTGATCCAAGGACTGAATACTAAAGTTGAATTTGGATTTTGTTTTATTTCCTCTCAATTCAATCACTTTCATTTTTGCAGTTAGCTTACGTTTGTGACTATCCGTTACTCAGCTTTAGTTTTATCGGAGGACATTATGCTTTTGTTTGCAGGGATAAGGTTGTGGACTTCCAATGGAACGCATATGATCCATGGACTATCGTAAGCGTATCTGATGATGGGGAATGCTTCGGTGGGGGTGGTACTTTGCAGGTAATTTTTCTTACGTTTTTCCACTCGCCTCGAATTTTCAGTAGCTGTGGCTAAAACATGAAATTGGTCTCGTATTTGCAGATGTGGCGTATGACGGATCTCTTATACAGGCCCAAGGATGAAGTTTTAGCCGAGCTTCAAAAGTTCAAAGACCACGTGATGGAATGCTCCAAGACTTCTTGAATCAAAACCATGGTTAACATGCTGCCTTTCTTTTAGCTGTAACTGTTGTCGGCTAAAGAAACTAATCAAGTAGATGAATTCGGGTTTTATTTCAGTCGAGCTACTTTATCCGACATTTTGATCTTCACCCAGCTGCTGCTCTCATGGAGATGGAGTAGACTTAGTTGTTGTTTGCAATCTTCTCTGTCAAGGAATTGAATTTTACAATCTGGGCCTTCATGTTTTTTTCCATATCTTTTGATTCTCACTTTTTTTTTTTTCCTAGAAAATTTCTTCTAAATTTGGTTTGTCAAATTCAAATGCAGTTCAACCCTTCATTAATATTAGAAAATAATATGAAAATCATAATTAGACAAAATGAAAACAAATGTTTCAACTACATTATCTGTATTGAAGATTGGAGAATGCTATGGCTGTACAACTTGAGTTTTTACCAACAATCAATCTATGTAGATAAAAATGACCAATTTATTTTCTTTTTACACATCAAAACTAGATTATCAAGCAGATGAAGTTCTTTGCACACTCCTATTAGCAGTCCTTTGGACAACTGACATCCCGGTCGGGTCGCCACCCCATTCCTCGAACACGACCAACACGTTCCCGGTGGGTTTGAGCCACGAGCGTGGGACATGATACCTAATACACACACACACACAAATAAATAAATAAATAAATAAATAAAAATCTATAATCGTACAATGCAAAATGTTGAAAAAACGACAGTTCGTTCAAGAGGTTCGGTGCAATTTACTCTACCGAACGAGCACGAATGCTCGAAAATGCTTACCATCTTTGAGACGGTTGTTCGCAGCCCCTTAGGCATTTGGTCTCATAGAATGTGCCACCGTAATCACATTCACTGCACTTGCCTTTCGCCATGTACCCCGGCCAGTGCCGGCCTATCCCATTGCCGTTTATCCACATTTCGCCTTTTCCCATGCTCGACATATCTAGGGCAAGCGGGTCGCTCCCGGGAGGCGCATCAAATGTCGTCTAAGGAAAATGGAAAAAGAGAAAAATGAAAAAAAAAAAAAAAAAACGACCGACGATGAAAACTTGTTAAAAACGAATTGCATCGAACTTCTTAGTTACATCGTTTCAAAATTTATCAATTCTTGGGTCAATGTGGAGGAAAATGAGTTCACCTTGTACCAAGTTAGAGGCTGTTTTTTCGCCAACTGGGATTCTCCGACCCATTCGATTGAGGAACCTCCCGTGCCCGTATAGAGGTTGAGTGATTCGCCTTTCACTCCAATCTGCATGTAGAAAAAGCGTCGTCGATTTTTACGACCAGTTGTTGATCATGTTTTATATTCTCACAAACTTTGTTAGACTTTTTTGTCGTTGGGTACAAAACGAAAATGGGAGAGTTATGGGCACGAACCTTGTATGACCAGCTCTGTTTTGTCAAGTCTCGTGCGCCCTCATTGAGCCCGTTTAGAGAGACAGGACCAAGAACTCCGATATTCCAACTCTCATAGTGCACGCCGACATTCTAAGACAATAAATTTTAATAAAAAACCGCCAACACGAAAACAAACGAGCTCTCGAGCAAATGGCAAAACTTGCCTGTAGTCCAACAGAAACACTAAGTAGCGAGATTTTATTAACCCCGGCTTTTAAGTTCACATTGCCGCTAAATGTTAGTTTCGGATTATCCAGGCTCCCGTACACGGTTCCTGCACGAATAGAACTTTATAGAACGCTTACGAACTGCACAAATATAATCAGTTGAAATGAAAAGAAAATCAGTTAACTACTCACCGGATAATTGGCCGTTAATAAACACATGCAGGGCATGTCCTGCAGACATCACTGTCAAAAGAGGCCATTTCTTGGTTTTCAAGAATCCCTCATCAGGAGCTATGTCGACTCTGTATCCACCGATCGTATATTATTAACAAAAAAATAATTATTTTACTCGAGAAAAAATGGAAAAGCTCGTAAAAATGTTTAGCTACACTTACTGCGTAAGGTACCACATATAATCCGAGGTGTCCCGAGTAACGTATAGTTGCTCCAACAATCTTTGCATGCCATTTGTGTCCTTTTCGCCAGCCGAGGGAGCGTATTCGTTATACGATTGCCAAGAAAATTCGCTGCTCACCGCTATCATCTCAGGCTTCGACCCTTTGTAGCTAATCTGCGGCACAACCAAAAAAAATAAAAAAATAAAAAATGAAAACGACGTGAAAATGTACGCCTATGGAATATTTTTTACTTACTTTGGCTGTTTACTTACTTTGGCTGTGTTAAAGGCTTCGGTTTTACAGTCAGGCAAAATGCTGATCGACCAAGGAGGCAGAGTATACTGCACATTCCATAAGGTCAAATTCGTGGGATATTTGGGGTCGTTGTTTGTAAGAAACGCTGCACAAGCTCCCGATTTTGACTTGAAAACGTGAATCTACAATCGAGTTGGAAAGAGAGTCGGTAAAAATACAACAAACCGTGAAGAATATGTGAATAGCTTTTAGAAAATGTTCACTTTTTTTTTTGTTCTTTTTCTGTACCTCTTGGTTTTTACCGGGCCAAGTTACTGTGGGGTACGAAGAAACTAAGGCCGGCTCACATTGCTTAATTACTTTGTGCAACTCCGTTAGGTGCCCCCATTTTGGCTCGTTCGGGAGTCCTAATAAGTTAGTCGATTACTGAAAATGCACAAGGAGGCTAATTTTATTTTATTTTTCCTTTCAAAGTGATATTCGTAAGTTTTACCATATTCGTCAAGTGGAGCATCAAAGTCGTAGCTGGTGGTTACAAAACGACCCGATGTTCGATCAAAGTTCGTTCCTCCGTGATACTATACAACAAAATCAAATAAATGATTTAAAATGTAATAGTTTCTTTTATTCCAAGAACGGATTTGAACTTCTTACCATGTAATAATTGAAGAACGACCCGTTATTTTGGACGAACTTAGCAACCAAAAAGGCCAAGTCTTCAGCTGGTCTGTAGGGATTCGGGCCACCGAGCTGCGTATACCTAAGGAAATATCCAAAGACACATATAATAAATGATAAAAAACTAGAAAAAAAGCAAATAAATGATCAGAAACTAGAAAGTTTGATCTGAATTTAGTTAGTTATGCACACAATAAGTACTTTTAGTAGTGTACCAGCCAGACCACACTTCAGTCCACATTTTCGGTTTGTAAGGCCTGTTTGGAGTGTACTTCTCGCAATAGAAACCGTTGCATGCATCTATCTGCGAAACATTGCACGACACAATAATTTAATTTAAATATGATCCCGATTACAAATAAAATTCGACAGAATATACAGCCAAATTTTATGCATCGCATAGATTGAAATTGTCGATCAAAATTAAATCGAGTACCATTGGATCAGGAGCCGTTTCTTGTTTGCACATGATCCACGGAACACTGGTATTTAATCCGACAGCCATTTTTGCAGCCCAAGCTGAATAAGCTTTACCGGGAGCACCTATTTCCCACTCCACTGGTCCATACTCATTTTCAATCTGTTCATTTACCGAAAAATTAAAATAAAAAATCTTAAAAAAATAGTAATAATACGATTTCTAACTTATTGACAAAACTAAAAGGCGATTAGTTTCGAACCTGCGACATAATAATCGGTCCTCCCTGGGGCTCAAATAACTTCTCTGCCTTCATCATGTTCACGATTTTCGTTACGAATCTTTGCATTTCCATCTTTACAGTCGATCAGCAAATGAATAAGGAAAAAAAAAATCAGTTGGAATTCATATAAATTGTGTTCACATGTGACTATATATACATATAAATTTACTCCAATTAACCGAGTGATAGTGAACCTTGAAAGGCTTGTTGTCTGTTCGGAATTCCATTCCCGGTATATATTTCAACCAAACAGGGAATCCCCTGCATCAAAACCGAGCAAATAACAATAGTATGGGAACATAATTAACTAGAAAAAATCGAAGAAAAATCAGCAGCATTAACATAATCATTCCTCTCATCTGAAATTAGAGCTTTATTAACTTATAAAACCAACATAGCATCATTTTCAATGTAACAAAGTTTGTCGAACCGTACAAAAATTTACTCACCCAAAGTTCCACTCAGCACAAGCGTATGGCCCAATGCGTAGGTGAACGTAAAGCCCGGCCTTCTGCGCGAGTTTGATGAACTTGACGAGATCAAACCGCCCCTCAAAATTATACTGCAACAAAAGTCGGTTAAACGAATAAAAATTTGTTCACTTTTCTTGCGTAAAACCGACAAATAAGTCAAGAAAAAAAAAAGATAACGATAATTAAAAAAAGAAATGCATGCATTACTTTGCCACGAGACGGCTCGTGCCCGTTCCAGAACACGTAAGTTTGTATAACATCCAAACCTCCATCTTTAGCCTTCTTCATGAGATCGGGCCACATCTAAATACATCAACAAAATACACCAATCGACATATTAAAAGATATCAACGGAAAATATATGTACAATGTCGAAAGTGAAAGTGTTACACGTACATCGGGAGTGCTTCTCGGGTAGTGAATAGAACCCGAAATGAGAATTTTCCTTTGTCCATGGATGATGAAAGCTTTATCGTCGTACGAGATGGTGGCTTCAACCGAAGAGGAAGAAAAAGCCAACGTGAAAAGAACAATCAGTAGTAACAAAATGCTGTTTCTCGGTCTCGAACCTTTCGACATTGTGAAATCGCCTTTTTTTTGTCGAAAATTTGTCGAAAATAGTAACAAAGAAGAGTGGTTAAAATTGTACAAAATATACACAATAGAGAAAGAGAGAAAAGTCTCTTTCTAAAAATGACGTTTCTTAAGGAAAAAAAAAAAAAAAAATGAGAAAATGATCAGAAGCTCCAAGTGGTTTTTATATGTAGATTGTTGTGGAAAATGAGATTTTGAGTAAAAATGGGCTATGAGTAAAGCTTGCCGCTTTACGTGGAGTTGCTTCTTGGTTTTCCATATCTGAAGGTTGAGACTTAATCTATTTATGGAAATGTTTCCAAACTGACTTTGTGAAGAAGTTGAATTGACTTCAAACTTAAAAATGCTCTATTCTTGGAAACAAAGGAAGTTGTTGGTGTCAACATTCTAAAAATAATTTTTCTGTTTTAAAAGAAAAAAAAAACACATATTTTTAATGGTAAGTGAAGAAACGGGTCCTACAGACGTGATACGCACCAAATCAGGGTGAGTTTAGACGGGCCTCAGAAGAGTTCCATCCTAAAGTCAATTGGTGGTATGAAGAGTAGCCCAATTAGGCTTATAAGTTAAGTCTATTTTTTCTGTATAAAAAACGTGAGACAACTCACAAGTGTATATTCTAACTCACAAGTGTATATATGTGAGACAACTCACAAGTGTATATTCTAACTCACAAGTGTATATATGTGAGACAACTCACAAGTGTATATATTTTTCCTGTAGGGTGAGCTTAGATGGGTCTCATAAGGTTCCATTCTAAATCGATTGGTAATAAGAGGAGTAACTCATTAGGCTTATAAGTTAGTCCTATTTTCTTTGTATAAACGATGCGGGACAACCCACAAGTGTATAGTTTAACAATAAGAATAAAATGTGTATCTAGTTTATCTCCAATTTATTTATTCGATAACATGTATGTTTTAAGAAAAAAATAGTATGTATATTTCAATAATTATGTGATTATGCAATTTACATGGTGATCCAGTTTGTTTCCGACCGAGTATTCTAACTCCATGCTGGAAAGCTGGAACCGAACCGTTGCGCTACCGACTAAGGGAAATTTTATCTTGGTTGTAGTGACATAATTTAAGTAACGGGTAAATTGCGCCAAACCCCCCTGTATTATACGAAATTTGCGCCTTATCCCCTTCTATTTTAAAAAATGCGTCATACCCCCTTGTATTATACTTTTGATTGCGCGTTATCCCCTAAAAATGCGTCATACCCCCTTGTATTATACGAGGAGAGGGGATAACGCGCAATCAAAAGTATAATACAAGGGGTATGACGCATTTTTTAAAATACAGGGGGATAAGGCGCAGATTTCGTATAATACAGGGGGATTTGGCGCAATTTACCCTTTAAGTAACTAATAAAGTGTACGTGTGTGGTGTCGAATGATTTTAGCGGAATAAGTTTATAAAATAAATTAATTTATTTATTAAACATATCATTGCATAAATGAAGTAGAATATAGAAAAAATGAACACATATGTGATTTTTTTTATTTAGAATTGACATAATGATGTCTGTTTGTTATGTTTTTGTGCTTATTTTTATGTGTTTATATGTGTGTTTATGTCGATTTTAGATTTGTTTTAGTGTCGACCGGTCCATTTTATCGTTCTCCGTGTGTTTTTTTGTTTTTTGTTTTATTTTATATTTTGGAGTACTTTTCTGTGTTTTGTGGTGGAATTTCAGGTTTATCCCGCGGGCGGAGAGACGAGTCAAACCGAATCGTGAGAGATGTGTCGAGCCATTTGCCTTAGGCGAAGCTCACGGATGGGCCATTACCTGCAGCACGACTCGCGCGCTCGCGGAAGGCCCGGCGAGGTCGAGAGCGCCCGCACGCCTGCACGCCCGCCTCACCTACGCTCGCGTGCTCGCGGGAAACAGCGGGACATCGAGAGTGTCTCCGCGCCCGTGCGTCCATGCCAACTGACCTGCGAGCTCGCGAAAATGATGGAGACCTCGAGAGTGTTGTTTTTAATGTGCGTGTTTTTAGTGCGTTTTTGTGGTGTAGCTATATATAGACATTATGCTTTGTATTTTTGGGAACAACCCTCATTTCCCAACTTTTAAGTTGGGAAAATTCTCTATTTTCTTTTTTCCTTTTTTATATTTTGGTTTGAAGCTTATGAATCAAGTTTTCCGGCGAACTTCCGGCGACGTTGTTTCGAGTAAAGTTTTGAGCTTTTGACTGCGTTTCTCTTCCCAAGCGCGTGTGAGAGTGGGTACTTAGTCTGAAGCCTCATTACTTCGTATATCTTTGTTTTCTTTTTGTGAAAATCGATATTGTGTTTGTGTTGCTTGGAGGAAAAGATCGAATCTTTGGATCGTGAATGCTTGACTAAGTGTGACTAGGAGTTAAATGCTTGCTCGTTTGTGCTAGAGTTTGGTTTAGCTACCTAGGGTTTTAGCTAGCATGGCAATGTTCGGTTATTTGTGTGCAATTGATCATAGAGACTCCGGCAAACCAAAATCTCTCTTTCCCCCTTGATTTCTCTCATCTTTTTGCGTGCTTTAATTGGTTTTAATGCCCTCAATTTCGTAGATTAGTTTAGCTTAAATCAATCCCTTTCAAGCGAGTAGAATGTGTAGGACCTTCTTTTCGGTTGTGTGATTTTGACGACTAGGTAGTGAACAAAGCTCCGAAGAGCCTTCCTTTGAGAACGACCCGAGTCGGGTAGCTCGGTTACCACATGCCCAAAAATACTACAAACAAAATGGCGCCGTTGCCGGGGAAAGCGAGTAGGACGCCAAGTTCGCTATCTAGTTGTCGTTTGTTTCCGTGTTTCTCTTGCTTTTTGTGGATTTTGCTTGTTTTTGCGTGTTTCTCTTGATTATTTGCTTATTTTCCATTTCTCTTGCTTTTGCTTTGTGTGTTCGTGTACATATCATGTCGTGTTAGTTTCGTTTTGTATTTTCTTTCCTTTGCCTCGTGTGCCTTGGTTGTTTTTTTTTTTATCTTGTGCGAGGTATTTCGCTTGAGGAGCTCCGATGGATCCGTATGGCTATGCTTATGCCGGTAGCTCGTCTCGTGGATGCCCAGGCAACTATCATGAGAAGATGTACTCGTATGGAGGGCCGCCCTATCTGTATCCGAGCCCTTCTTACCCGCCATCTCAAGTTGATTTCGGTTATTACTCTCTGGGTTACGACGAGACACCTCACTATTATCCGCCGCCTCCATATTTTTTTGATGCGACATCTCCACCCGAGCCGACTCGGGAATCTTCTCGAGTCAATCTAACCGAGATTATGGAGCACTTAGAGGAGTGCAATCGATCTCTTCGCGCTTCAATGGCTCCCACATCCGAAAATGAGGAAACCGAGTCCCATGTTCCATCTTCTCCATCATTTGAGCACCTATCGGTTGGCCAACCTTGTACACCGAGGAGCGAAGCTCCAATTCCATCAACGGTTGTGCCTTCCCAACGTCACCGAGAGGTTTTGGCAAGCACTCAAGAGGCACTTGTGAGCCTCGCGTCGATCATTGAGGAGTTTTATAGTTGGAGGTGCATTCCTATTCCATCCGTTCTTCAAGCTACACTTGAGAAGTTCGACTCTACCGTGGTATCCTTTCTTGATTTGGACGCATTGCACATTTCGTTCAGTAGATATTGTTCTCTATCGACGAGGATTATTCGAGAGAGCACCCGGTTAGAAGGCGAGTTTCGAGCTATGGTGGATAGGTTTGCCTCCTTGAAAGAGGTGGGCCTCACTCTCGTTTATGATGGAACACAATCTCTCGACACGAGTGAGGACATCGACGATTTGATTGTTAAAGAAATTCCCCCACTTGACGACTCGGACTTGAAATCTACGAAATGTACGTCAAATTTTTCTTTCGGTGATAGTTCTATGAGCTTTGATTCGATTATTGAGGATGAGAGTGAGTGTGTGGATTCGGGTGTTGGTATGGTGTATGGGATGGGAGAGAATTCATTTGAGGATTCGATTGTGCCGAACAATGTTGATAGTGCTCGGGAGGATGATTTTGAGGAGGAGGGTGTGGTAGTTGATGATTTTGTGGATGTTGTTGAGGAGGGTTCCGAGCTATTATGTGATGTCGTGGACCCGAGGTGTGCTTTGATTGATGGGTCGACTTGTGATGTTGAGTATGATGTGGTTCCCATGTCCTTTGGGGCGTCGTTTCATATTATTGAGGATAGTGACCATTTGGAAGAGTTTGGTGTGCCTACGCCCGTGCTCCCGATGCTTGAGCTCGATGAGGACACGTTCGAGATAGTGCAAACGATTCCCGGGATTGATTCGACGTGCTCCACGGATATTTTTATATTTTTGGAGGACGAATGTGGGACCTCGGTTCGCAAAGATTCATTTCTCCTATTGTTGGTTGTCGAAATCCGTGCTCGGTTTCACAAGAACGCGGCCACCAAAGCTTACCTTGCCCGCCTTTGTTCGGTGCTACCGGCTCGTCTACTCTTGGAGAATACGAAGGCGTGGCATGATCAACACTTTTTCTTGGACCCCAGTTGATTAGGGATGTGGACGTCGAGCTCAAGATGTAAAATGAGCGCTTCGTGGGAGGCAATCCACGGTTATTGCTTTTTCTTGTTTTTTCGCTTTTATCGAGAATAAATAGCTCCACGAGTCGCACGACACACATGATTTTCGAGGGTGAAAGCGAGTTTCGAGGTCGAGATTTGATTGAAAATTCGGTGAGGTGTTGAAAATTTGAGTTAATGAAAGCGAGTTTCGAGGTCGAGATTTGATTGAAAATTCGGTGAGGTGTTGAAAATTTGAGCTAAGTATAGAAATTATTGAAAAGTGCATGTGCCGACCAGCTCGGCAGTACCGACCTATTAGTGTCGGGCCAAAAATTTTATCGAGGAAAGTTTTGGGATGTGTGGACGAGCTTTAGGTGAAATCGGGTCAAAAATCGGCCGAAAATGTGCAAAATATGGCTAAGTGTACAAGGGACGCAGCCCCACGCCCGCGCGCTCGCGGCGCGCCCAGCG